GCACGGGGAGGGGGAGCAGCAGCAGGCGGTGAGCCCGACGGCTGGGAAGCCCCGAGGGGGCAGGGAGCCCCAGGAGCCGGGGGGACCGGGCTGCCCAGGAGCTCTGAGGGCAAGAGAACCCTGCCAGCCTGGGGGCACCACCGGGCAAGGAGCAGACAAGACCTTGCAGCACCGCTGCGATGGGCATACAGTGTGGCAAGGTCCACCTCAGTGCTGAGATGCATGTGGGCTGGAATTGTGGGAACTGGCGAATGCGTGAGGAAATTTTATTAGAGCTTCCCTTGTAGGGGAAGTGTTTTCAGAGGCAGGACAGCCTGCAGGAAGCCCTGGTGTGGCACAGAACTGGGATGCACAGGGAAGTAGTGGAGTTTGACTGCATCCTCATAAGAGGATGGTCACCACCACCGCTGGTCACTGCTCAGAGCTGAGAGAGGTGAGGCTGTGTGGCTGGGCTGGGAGCAAGCAATAGGGTGCTGGTCCTGAAGGGCTAGGTGGAAGGTGGTAGGAGAGCCAGGAGGCAGGGAGATGACTGTAGGTAGTGGCAGACTAAGTAGAGGTTGAAAGTGAATAGTTAGCCTAGGGCTGGTTCTGAGGGCGTATAATCTGAAACTCTTGAGAGACATCTGTGAGAAAGTAGAAGAGAAAAGCATATTCCAGGTCAGTGACTGGTGCTCAGCAAAGATTAGACGGGCTTCTGAATCCTTCCTCATCTGAACCAGAGTCTCAAAAACATCATTACATGAGTCATGGCCTCTCATGTGAGACTCTGGGTATGGCATCAGCAGCATCTGCAGTTTTGATGGAGCTTTTGCACAAGCAAACACTCTGACATCTGTTTGTGGCATGCACAATGGGTGCCGTCTTTCCAGCTTCGCTGCTGTGGGCCTGCTTCCCCTTCCTCATGGCTGATATGAGATGCGAGGTGCCACTGGCTGGCAGGCAGGGATGAATTCAGTGGTCCCCTCTGTAACTCCGTATCTTTTTTTTTCTAAATGTGACTTACCTGCTGAGTGTAGGCTGGGCTCTCCTGGTGCCCTGGCCTGTCAGCCCTAGGCTTGGACATGCTTATGTATATTGCAGCTCACTCCATTTTAGCTGCCTTTCTTGTCAACCTCCTTACTATGGCTCTGGACCTCCCAAGTGCCTCTCTGGACAGATTCTTATGATAGCAGCTTTCTTCAGAGGCTTCTGCTGCCATTTTTTACCAGGGAACTCGGTGCCCAATGGTGGGAGGGACAGAGAGGGAGCAGGGCAGTCTGGCTCACATTACACAGGCTGGGCCTGGACCAGTCAAGCCAGCCCCTAGCGCTGAGCTATCTGCTAATTGGAAGCAGCTGTTCAGATTTGGTGACTCTGCATCCACTGAGGTCACTGCTGTCTTCCTCTGTGACCCAAGCCTGCAAACTTCATAGGAACAGAGGGCTGCTAGTACCATGGATGGCCTCCTGCCCATTCTGGACTGGTGCAGTCTGGCAACCTGGCAGTTGCATCTCTTACCCAAGAGGTAGCTAGGCTCTGAAACTACCCACTTGTATTCAGGGAGGATGGGAAGAGAGAAGTTTACACAGACTTTCATCACCAGTTCCCCACCTCAAGGACCCTAATTTCATTTCTCTGGTTGCCCCAGTGCTCTCAGCTGCTCGTCACACCCCCCATATTTGCTTTTCAAGTTTCTGTCCTCCCTGCCGGCAGCCCACAAAGCCTTGCTGTGCTCCCTTCTGCTCCTCAAGAGCCACATCACTAATCAAACCAGGTGGGGTTTTTTTTTCCCAATATCTGTGCCTTGATCTGTTCCTGGCACTACCCAACACCTTTCAGCTTCATCCTGTCCTCAGCCACTGCGATTGCCTCAGGGAGCCCTGTTTCTACCTGTTTCTCTATTCTCTTTTTTATTTAGTTTTTGTCTAACCTCCTGCCAAGGCTTTAAACCATCTGCCCTGTACCTTCCCATAGACCTGAGAAGCTGGGGCACAGTTAGGATGGTCCAGTTTCGTCACAGAAATTTGGACCCCATTCCTCCAGCACTGCATGTTCTGATGTATGCAGTTACCCCTCCAGCTGGGGAAATTTAACTAGCACCAACAGAGAGCGATAGGCCTGTCTAGGACCACTGAGTTAGTGCACTGAGAAATGCTAACTTTTTTTGATTTCTGCACCTGAGAGATAATGAGGATTCATACTTGCTAGGTGCAAGAATAATGTGTGGATTTACTTGCCATAGACCTCAGATGCTGGATGCCCATTGAAGTAAACAAACACTTCTTTATATGTAGAAAACACTTTTTAATATTTTTCTTTCTGTCACTAACCCAGGATTTCCACAGGGAAAACCAGTCTAAACAGCTGACTTGAGGTGGGAAAGAGAACCCAGGAATAATCATCCTACGTCCCCCAGAAAGGGTTAACACTGCTATAGGATTCTTTAGATCAAGGGCTGACATTCTTAGTCCCCAAACTGGGCAATGTCAGCCACCTCCATCCCCCAAGACAGGGAGGTTCCTGCCATCCTGTGTCTGACATGAGCGGCTCCTGAGTGTGGTTATGGGACCAGCAGCAAATGCTTTCAAGAGAGTCCAAGTGTGAGCTCATGCTGCCGCCATCCCTGCAGACCACTAAGCCTCGTTTACCGAGGGCTGAAAGGAGCACTGGGGCTGCTGCTCTTCACAAGCTCCTTGAATGCTGAGTTTCTCTCGCTATTCACAGGGAGGGTGTCCAGAGCCCTGGGGGGGCTGACAGCCTTTGGGCACTGGGAGTGTGTCCAGCATGTCCAGTAGTGCTGTTGCTGCTGGGAGCTGCTCCTCCCTGCTCGTCCCTCCCCCACTGCTGCAGTGAAGTGAAGCTACGGCAGGGGGAAATGGAGTGAAGGAGCCAGAATGAGCAAGGAGCAGTAAGAAGGAGACAAAGGAGGAGAGTGAGCAGTGGAGGGTGTGGGACCGTGAAGGAGCCAGAGCAGCTGGCATTTCACACGGAGTTGCTGCGTTCCTGCTGTACTGCCACCACCCTCCATGGTACCAGCTTGGGGCATCCACAGACCTCTGTGCCAGCCCAAACAATGGGCCCTGTCTGATTTTATCCTGGGCATTCCCAGCTGCGGGTACATCCTTTGCAATACAGCCATTCTGATTTATTGTTCACTGGATGTAAGCCTGCTCCAGTTCTGCTGCTCCTTCTCAGGGACACCAGATTTGCACTTCATGGGGTTTTTGGCACCTATATCCCTGTGGTCCTGAAAGGCATGCTACTGGGGGCGGGAGGGTCTCAACACCGTCGCTTGTTGAGCTCGCTCCCAATCTGAGACCAGATTTCTGCAGGGTGGAGAGGTGCTAGGCTGCTGTTTGTTCAAAAATCTCTGCCGTCTTGCAGACAGCCTCTCTCGGCCTCACAGGAAGCATTCATCTGTTAAAGGTACAGGAACACTCTGCTCTAGGGCAGCTGGCTCCAGCGCTGCCATGAGGGTGGGTGGTTGGGAAGAATGCTTGACTATGTAGGAAACAGCCTATGTGATAGGGTACTAGATGCTAACCTCAGCGAACTGTCAGATGTGACTTGCTTGGCTGACTTTAGGTGCTGTCCCAGGCCTTCATTTGGGGCACTCTCCGCTCTGACACATTTTCACCTTCGCTCCTTGCGAAGGATAGGTGATACAGAGCAATTGGGCAGCAGGTACGTGGAAGGCCTTCCCTCTCCATGTGTTTTTTTCTGTACTTCATTTGTTGCTCCTTCTTAACCAGCATCCTCTGGTCTGCATTCCATGCAGGATTAAAGCGCACACTGCAAAGAAGATTGAGCCACCCTCTGCTCTGCAAGTCACTACCAATGGAGCAGATGAAGGGGTCAGCCATGCTTCTGCTGGAGTTGCTAATTCTTGGCAGCCTGAGAGCAGGGAAGGGCTCTGCCGTCCTGGGTACCCTGGATCTACAAATAGATGAGGAGCAGCCAGCTGGCACCATCATTGGGGACATCAGTGCTGGCCTGCCCCCTGGAACTAGTGCCTACATGTATTTCATCTCAGCACAGGAGGGCAGCGGTGTTACCACTGACCTGGGGATAGATGAGAACACCGGTATCATCAAAACAGCTCGTGTCCTGGACCGAGAGACTCGGGACCGCTACAGCTTCATTGCTGTTACCCCAGAGGGCATCACAGTGGAAGTGAACATACAAGTGAATGACATCAATGACCATGCTCCAGCCTTTCCCAAAAAACACAGCACCTTCCAGATCCCAGAGCACACACCCATTGGCAGCAGATTCCCCTTGGATCCAGCCTTTGATGCCGACAGTGGCGTACTCAATACACAAGGCTATGTGATTAAGGGAGAGAATGTGGGGCAGGCCTTCCGCCTGGAAACACGTCGAGGACCCAATGGGGTCCTGTATTTGGACCTGGTGGTCAGCAATGTCTTGGATCGGGAGAACCGTTCATCATACTCACTGCTGTTGGAGGCCTATGACGGTGGCTCTCCTCCCCGGAGTACCCAGATGACACTGGATGTGTCCATCCAGGACATCAATGACAATGCTCCCAGCTTCAACCAGAGCCGCTATCATACTCTCATCTCAGAGAATTTGAAACCTGGCAGCAGCATCCTGCAGGTCTTTGCCTCTGATGCTGATGAAGGTGACAATGGGGATGTGATTTATGAGATCAACCGACGGCAGAGCGATCCTGACCAGTACTTCACCATTGACTCCCGGACTGGAGTCATCAAGCTCAACAAGGGTCTGGACTATGAAGTAAGGAAGGTGCATGAGCTGGTGGTGCAGGCAAGGGATAAGGCTGTACATCCTGAGGTCACCACAGCCTTTGTCACTATTCATGTACGTGACTACAATGATAACCAGCCCACCATGACTATCATCTTCCTGAGTGAAGATGGCTCCCCTCAGATCTCTGAGGGAGCCCAGCCCGGCCAGTATGTGGCTCGCATCTCTGTTTCTGACCCAGACTATGGTGAGTATTCCAATGTCAATGTCACACTGGAGGGAGGGGATGGCAAGTTTGCCCTCACTACCAAGGACAACATCATCTACCTGATTTGTGTGGACCAGCTTCTAGATCGGGAAGAAAGAGACTCCTATGATTTGCGGGTGACAGCTACTGACTCAGGCACACCCCCACTCCGGGCAGAATCAGCCTTTGTGCTGCAAGTGATGGATATCAACGACAACCCTCCACTCTTCGACCAGCAGGAGTACAAACAAAGCATCCCCGAGGTTGTGTACCCGGGCAGCTTTGTCCTACAGGTGACAGCTCGTGACAAGGACCAAGGTCCCAATGGGGAGGTGCGGTATAGCATTGTGCATGGCCATGACACCCACTCCAGCTGGTTTGCCATTGACCCTGCCACAGGTATCATCACCACCGCTACCCCACTGGATTATGAGAAGGATCCTGAGCCTCAGCTGACTGTGCTGGCCACAGACAGGGGAACCCCTGCCCTCTCTTCTTCAGCTGTGGTGCGTGTGGCCCTGCAGGATGTCAATGACAATGAGCCAGTGTTCAGGAGTAATTTCTACAATGTGTCCCTAAAGGAGAACACCCCTGTTGGGACGTGCTTCTTACAGGTAGGTACAACTGTCAGGCACTGAGCTTGAGGGGAGCACGGCCAGGACTGAGAGGCTGGGGGGGGGGG